TTCGCTACCCACATCCTGCAGATCGAGGGATATGCCTTCAATTTTAGCACTTCATAATGAGAACAAACGCATTACTTGTGTTGGATTAGTTTGCGTGATATCCATAATAGCGTCTTGGGAGGTCGACACTCTACGTTGAGTAGGGATGTCATCAAGTACACTCTCTCCGGGGCCAGAACTCCCGAATTCGTTCATTCTCCATCGTATCACTTCCAGCAAACAAATCTTCAACGCTATATACCTGAAATGGTGATATGAGCAGATGCTCGACTGCCAACTCTGAATCATTTCGTTCAGGTGGGCATCAGTAGAGCAGGACACTTGTTAATTTCACACTAAATGGACCTATTGCGCATGGCGCATTTTGTCAACTGAACGTGTCACTTCACTTCACACGTCATTATACTCCGAGTGTAATGAAATGGGTTGACTATTGTAAAAGTGCTTCCACAGTTTCGACTAGCGTCCAGAAGTTGTCGAAATCGTTGAATTGTACACTTTTCATTTAGAAGGCATGCTTAGACGGCTGAGATTTCAAACGCAGAGGTGAAAAGCAAGCCGATGTAAGGCTGATGTCATAGTTTGCGAATCGACCGATGTACCAGCGAGTCGAACGATGTACCAGCGACTCAACACTGTTTGAAAGTGGCGGGACCCAACGTTTAAAGGAAGTCCCGCCACTTTCAAACAGTGTCTTCCTTTAAAGTGGACTTCCTTTAAACGTTGGGTCCCGCCACTTTCAAACAGTGTCGAGTCGCTGGTACATCGTTCGACTCGCTGGCGCAAGTTCGATTCGCTGGCGCAACGCTCGATCCAGTTGGCGAATCGAGCTATTCGCTAGCGAATCGCTCGATTCGCAAACTATGACATCGGCCCAACGGAGAAGGAGAGAGTAGGAGAACGGCGAGACTTAGAAGTACTCTACCGTACTTATCGTTGCAACGAGAGCATCCATCTAGGGGAACATCACACGATCACGTCGGCGTGGCAGTCCCGCTCGAATGTGTATGATGATAGGAGTGTGAAGTGGGCTGTCAATTGGAAGAAAGGAAATTGCATTGCTGAAAACCCGTAATCCCAGATCCAATTATTCTACGCTGTCGTCAATGCGAGAGGAGGAAAGACGGAGACGAGTGAGCATGGCGGTTGTCGATACAGTAGGCGGTTGATACCGAAACGGTGGGTGGACCAACCAGCACCGAGGCGACCGAACTAGTGTTCGCCTACCAATACTGTTTCTAAGCACCTTCTGCTGCAGCGACGGCTCGTATTGCATCGCCTGCGAGCCTGCTTCATCAGTTTGATCGCCAGAATTCGCTCATTTTTTAGTGAAGTTTCTTTCAAATCTCTGCAACACAGGTGGTTATAGCCTAGCTTTTGCCGCGCATTGTCAAATCGTGTTGAGGGCACAGCTCACATAGCATTACTTATCCTGCTCAAGAATTCCGGTAGTTCTTTTAATACCCTTCCTTGTATGCATAGAAGTACTCCGTGTGCCTTTTGCAGACATAATAAACTAATACTACTTATGTTTCACCGAGGTCCGTCGTGGGACCTGCGTCTGAAGGTCCATCGATGGCAAATAGTCATTTTGCTTCAATAACTTATACAAAATTGAGTGGAACCTATTTAATTGTTAAAGATGAACGTACAGCACGATGTCGGCTAAGTCTAACGTGGCAAACGTAGCAACTGTTTCCAACATGGAGTAGAGTATAAGCGGTGTCTAAATCATGCATATCGATAACCAGTGGAATGGATACGGTATGAGGTTGAGTCATAAGTAAGTGCGGATTTTCTCGTACACTTGCTTAAATTGCCCAAGTATTTTTATGCTGCTCCTGTCAATGTGGTGGGTAGGGCCCTCATCATCTTCACCAACAAAATGGTTCCTTCAATACTCCAAGTATTTGATTAAGCCGTCGTTCAAAGCCACACTTCATTACCGTCCCGTTACGCGTTCCTCGTGAGACAATCAGAGAGCTCAGCTTGCTGAAGTTTTTCAGCAGTGAATTTGTTAACGAAAGGGTCTGACGGCTTCGGCTCCAAAACTTCTGAGATGACAACTATAGCCTTGCAGCCAGCAAGGCTAGTAAATAAATACAGTGGCTGAATTCTGAAGACATCTCGTTTGCCAGCAGCATCGAATAGTAGTAGGGAAGTTTGAAACTGCCACGGCGGGTCCTCCAAGCTATCGAAAATGCAGAGGCGCTGACAACGAATACCACCACGGCTGATGATTATGCTCTGAAGGTACAAGTGAATATTGGCAGGTGTTGCAGTCCGCCAATAGCCGTTACGAGTGCCTCGGCAAGGCTTCACTGAAGATCGGACTAGCATTGTTAGTGTAGGCCCCTACGATTTGCTATCGTACCACTCTCACGTATCATGATCACACGATCTCAGCAATATTCTGGTCCCGTATCCTGTTTACCGCAAACAGTGAGAAATGTACGTACGACCGTTCTTTGCATCGAAACTAACATAATTTTGTGGGAGAGGTGTTCCTTTCAGTTCCGAATTAGAGGAGAACAGCTAGCAGGCAAGCTATGATTACTTATTCCATGCTGATTTGCTCTTAGACAGATTATTCAATTATCAAGATGCAGCGTCAATCCGCAGCCTACTAAACAACTCCAACCGATTTGGGCTATTTTGCTAACGAAACTACTATTGATAAAAACTCTCACTGTATACACTGGCGATACGCAGTAAAGGTTATATTATCTTCTTGAAGGCGTTGTAGAGGCATAGTGCTGGATATGTAGTTGATTTCAGTACTTCTCTGAACATTGTTCGGCATCATTAGGGAATGTTACGTTTTTGTAAAAGTGTAAACGAATACACTGTTACTGGCTTACGGTGTTCTAAATCTCGTGAATTTATATGAAGCTTATTATGTGTTAAAGGAAATCCTTCGCGGAAAATTCTTGCATTCTTTCTTGACATGGATGTGTCAGTTGTGATCACTGGAAACAGCACGCAAAGTTTCACGCATGAAGATTCGGTTTCCGAAGAGAAACAAACGTCCAAAAACTACACGTTATGGACATCGAAGGTAATTCGGGCGGAGCCAAACGAGACATGGAAAGAAGTTGGCCTTTAGCCGGCTACGTATCAGGCGACGCAATGACGGAATCCGGGTAAAGTGATCGATTTTGGAGAATAGAGGCAAACAATCGATAGAGTATGATGCAGTAGAAAGTGTAAGACGAAAATGTAACTTCGTCTTTCAAAAATTACTGGCCGGATGCTTAACACTTGTTCTGTAGATACAATAAGAGTCAGAAAAGCCAGAAAGAGTTTTCTAGTGAAGGCACTCCAAGAACCAAGTGGAAGCATCCCCGTCGCCAGCATTTGTGAAAGACGTCCCCGTGGGCACTTTGAACGCGTAGCAGCCCTTTCGATTTTTTTGAAATTTTTTTTACCAGAACGAAAGCAATATTTCTGTTCTCCACAGTTCATTCTTATCGTGGATAATGAGTCTCAAGTAAGTTATGGCCAATAAAAGGCGATTTCCGCGAAGATTTCCTTAAAGGAGGATTGCACGGAAAGAACGAAGGTCGAAGAAGGGAGAAATCGCCTAGTGGGGAGAGCGGTGAATCTCTTGAGGGTGCGGACAGACACGCAATCGGCATCGAAAGATTTGACCTCTGAGATCTAGCATGGCTCAAAGTTGGCGAGTTCGGCGATCTCCGCCCACCGATCGTCTGATCACTCGCCGTAGTACAATAGGTGGCGAGTGATTAGATAGCTGAGAGAGCGTAGGGTTGAAGAGGGCAAGCGATGAGAGTCGCATCAATGCTCAAATCAACGGACAAGGAAGGGGTCCCATTTCTCCGGTTCTGGGCCGTTTTTCGTGGTTTCGCTTTCTTTCTGGTACTACTCACCATCTCTACCTCAATTTGGAATGGGTTGCTTTTCCATCGTAAATTCGTCCTTTAAATGTTTCGCTTTCTGTGGGCATGATGACTCGCCAAGGACAGCAACAGGCATCAACCAACTATTCCAACTAGCTAAATTTGGGGGAAGACGTGCTCCGTTCAGTTCACGATTAAATGGAGGACAGCTACAGGCAGCTATGATACTTATTCCATTGCTAAATTTGCTCTATAAACAGATATTCAATGTCAAATGCCAGCGTCAAATCCGCACATACTGTAACAACTCAACCGATTTGGCTATTTGCTAACAAAGACTGCTATTGATCAAAACTTACTGTAACACTGCGAAACCGTATAGGTTTATTATCTTCTTGAAGAGAAAGGTTGTAGGAGAAATAAAGTGCTGGTATTGATGTTAAAGATTTCAGTATTCTCTGAATATTATTCGCTCACATCCATTGACTCTACATGATGATATGATGCGGTTAAAAGTGGGAAAAGAATACCTGTTAGCTTTGCTTTACGGATGAGTCTTCTAGATCCTAGGAACGTACACTATGAAAGACGCTTATTACTGCTGAAAGGAATCCTTCGCGGAAAATTCTTGCCATGTCTTTTTGACATGGAAGTTAAACAGCACGCAAAGTTTCACGCATGAAGATTCGGTTTCCGAAGAGAAACAAACGTCCAAAAACTACACGTTATGGACATCGAAGGTAATTCGGGCGGAGCCAAACGAGACATGGAAAGAAGTTGGCCTTTAGCCGGCTACGTATCAGGCGACGCAATGACGGAATCCGGGTAAAGTGATCGATTTTGGAGAATAGAGGCAAACAATCGATAGAGTATGATGCAGTAGAAGTGTAAGATGTGAATGCAATAAAGCAGAAAGCCAGAAAAGTTTCTAGTGAAGGCACTCCAAGCCAAGTGGAAGCATCCCGTCGCCAGCATTTGTGAAAGACGTCCGTGGGCACTTTGAACGCGTAGCAGCCCTTTCGATTTTTTGAATTTTTTTACCAGAACGAAAGCAATATTTCTGTTAATTTCTCATTCTATACGTACTTGACTCATTTCTCAGTTTTTCCTTCATGTGATCCAAAATGGTACTTGAATGAATTTGTTTCAAAAATATGCTTTGATTTGCAGGCTCCGAAGAAGGCGATTGCGCCGAAACGTTAGCCGAATAAAGTTGATACCAATCTCGGTGGCTAAAGCAGAAGCAAAGCAATATTTCTGTTCTTTCCATTCTTATCGTGGATAATGAGTCTCAAGTCAGTGATTTATGGCCCAAATAAAAGCATGATTTTTCCGCGAAGGATTCCTTTAAATGTGTCGGCCTTTCTGTACATGGATGACCGCCAAGGACACCAGCATCACCACTTTCACACCTACACCCGCACCCATACCCTAATCCATAACCATATGACATGATGCTGCTGGACATGATGTCAATCATGATTACAGTTTGAATTTTACTCAGGAAGGCATTCATTTCAAACAGCCTATCCTAAATAGCGGTTCGTCGTGCGCCGTCGGCTGCGAGGACCACCAATGAAAGTCGACGCGCGGAGTGGAAGCTTATTTCACAGTAATGTTGTATGCAACGCATGTATGTATATAATGCGATAATGTTTGAGCTTTTCTATTGGCCAGTATAGAGCTTGCTTAGGGATTATGGCGAGATGCGGGGCTTTCTCTAGGACAAAGTCTAAAGTGGGGGGAGGGGGAAGGGGGCAGGAACTTCGGAGAGAATGAAAATTGGCTACGAATCCTTGATTTTCTTGTCTCCCACCTGAGGATTGATCCTGTTCTCAACAAGAAGTTGTTCTACGTGTTACGAATGCGTGGCCACTACAATGCCCCCTCATCTTGCAAGAGCGCCCTTCCTCGCTTCACCTCAATATCTGGTCACCATCAGACTTCTCTGACTGCTTGAAGCATGCTTTCACTTACTTGTTAGTAAGGACACTGGTGTGGAATATCATGTTTGAATATCGACAAATTCCTTATCTTCACTTTCATTCAAACCGCATCCAGGCCCTCGAAGCGGTCATCTTTCAATGGCATCGCAGAGCGTGTTTACAGTTTCAAGTTCTTGTCTTGCTCAACTCGTGCGGCACACATCATTCATACATGCTGCGCCTCGTGTAGGTGTGGCATTCAGCCACTTATTCACGGAAAAACTTATGGTAGAGGGAGACCAGCGCCATGATTATCAAGGACGAACTTGTTTTCACGAGGCGCTGTGCGCGCCATATGCACACCGAGGCAATGAACAACAAAATCGCGCGTGGTGTCTTGGTGGCGCACACATGCGCCGTACTCGTGCCTATCGGACCAGTAAAATGAACAATTCCACGGCACACTTCGAGCTTCTGAAATTTCTCCTTCATCCACAGTTTTCCTGGTATGTCGTGCGTGTCATGCAAGTGAAGAAGAAGAAACGCCTATGGAGCGTTCATAGTTGGCGATCGTTTGAGCGATTAGGCAAGGATTCAGAAAGAAAAGTCTACGTATCGATAGGCGAGTCGGCGAGTAGGCGATAAGGGAAAGATATGTATTGATTTGTTGCTCCGCCCATTGAGCGATCGCCTAATCGCCTACTCGCCTACTCGCCTACAACGCTCTATGGGCGGAGCAAACCAATCAATACGTATGTAGTCTCCCCGCCTAATCGCCTACTCGCCTAATCGCCTACTCGCCTACTCGCCTAATCGCCTAATCTATACGTATATTTTCATTATAGACTAATCGCCTAATCGCCTAATCGCACGTACGATCGCCAACTCTGAACGCTCCATTCCCCACCTGATCGCCTACCCGCCTAATCGCCTGCTCGCCTACTCGCCTAATCGCCTAATCGATACTACATTTTTCATTATAGACTATCGCCCAATCGCCTAATCGCATGTACGATCGCCAACTCGCATACTCGGGTGGATGTAGTCATTACCCATCCTAAAGCATCGGCAAATGGAGTGATTGGAGGCAAATGTTGAAATCGGTCGCGTTGCAAAGTAGGGGAAATTATTCCGATTGAAGGCTGAGGTTCACATGTCTTGAAAATGTGCACCAACCCCATTAGACATATCGATACACTGCAGAATCAGCATTGAACACGTGACAAGCTTGATCACATCCTTCTTTAGTAATGGTTCCACGCGATGGTCATACTCTGCGTCCATTCGAAGTTGTTCTGCAAAGAGAAATCAGCGCCTGTGGATAGCTTTGTTTGAAAAGCTCACCGTGAACCAGATCATGAATTCAAATCACCCACCATATGCAAAGATAGACTTTCTTGGAGGCATCTTAGCAGTGTTCATGAAGTGAATTGAATGAATCTCACTCCACTATGGTAGAACTACACAGATATCGTAAACAAGACTGATTTCAAACATTATCCATACAGACACAACTATTCTTCTTATCAACTCACGCATGCTCATTCATATTATGTTCCTGTTTCTCGTATTACGTATAACCCTAGCGTACTGTGTAATTTGCGTACTAACGTCCAGTCTAACCGTGCTTAAGCGTTTGGAGACGGTGAGCACCCGAATGAGCGTGGATTATGATGCTAACAAGATTATAAGTTAAGGTCAGAGCGCGGTTGCAGGCTTTCCAGTGCACAATGCCAGCACTAGTGTGAGAGCGGTCAACGACGCCGCCCCTGCTGTTCGGGGCAGCGAACCCAAAAATGGAGCGACGTCGCAGCGTTCGCCTCGCCGCTTGCGCGACGAAGCCGAACACCGTCGCAGCGTCCGGCTCGCCGCCGCGCGAGGGGGCCGAACACCCGCGACGAAGCCGACGCCGTTGCGGGGCGTCCGCGCGCTTGCGCGACGAAGCCAAGCACCGTCGCAGCATCCGCGCTCGCCGCTTGCGCGGCGAGGCTAGACGCTGCGCGCGCTCCGCTGCCGAGCACAGGGAGGTGATCCCCGGGGTGCCGCCCCATCCGACGTGTGGCGACAACCGCTCGCGTTGTGTCCTCCACCTTCTACATAAACGGCGCATAGTACTCTGCGCGGGCATGCTCGATGCATTCTCTCTCCGTTGAGAGGGCGCAAAGAAAACGATAAAAGGGATGCGAGCACACGCTTTAAGCGCGCCGCTACCGTGGGTTACGGTAGCACTGTACGCAATTACACAGCTACGCTTAGGGTTTATACGTAATATCGTATAATCCATCCGAGAGACGTCAAGATCCCCCTCGATCGCGCCTCACACTAGGCCACGAGTGCGACGTCGCGGTTTTACCAGTTTGAAATATGGCTTTGTCGAGTTAGGACCTCGCCCTAGCGCATCACCTGCTCGATATAAAGCTCTATGTCACTAGATGGAAAAATCGCCAAGAGCACCCCCTATTTGATGGCCTGTAATTTTTTCGAAGTCAATAATTTCCGAAAATGATAGTAGTTTCTGAATGCGCATTTGGTTTCTAGACTGTACTAAGCTTTTTGTCAACCACGCACCTCGACGTCTCCAATTAGAGAACATTACCCTCGAGAACTGGAGACTCGAGGATCTGTTAAAGAAATTGGAATTTGAACGCCAGTTTCCAAGCTTTGAAAGGCTACAACCTTCTTCAGCGGCAGTCTTTTGAACTTCTTGGAAGGTCACTGCGAAGATGAAGATTAACACTCTATGATATGCGCCACGTAACGTCTTCTGGTTTGCGAGAAATCTGCGTCGAAGATCTATCGAGGAAGTTTCCGAGCCATTTGTATACTCTACTCCTTCGCCGATGCGAGGGACTTCTCCGAAAACCCTTGACTTGTTTCCAGAATAAATCACCTCGATGAAGAAAATAGGAAGTGATACAGTTAGCGCCGATCAGCTCCGTTTTAGTGTGCGTCAGACAGTGATTTACAGGTTGGAAACCCCACCCACAGATTTTCGCCGTAAATATACTGAGCGAGATCACCTTTGTAAGCAACATACATATTTGCTAGCTGTGTGAATCAAGCACCCATTGCCTGCGCCCGTACATTCATTTACCAAGTGAAACGGAAAATTTTTATATGAAGTTTTCCTTCATAAAATATGAGTAAATTATTATCGAGGCAATGAGTATGAGGGTTAATGCTTAAAAGAGAGATTACGATAAAGTGTGTATGCAGCGTGGAAGTACATGCACCAGTGGAAGCAGTAGTCAGGGGCCAAGGAAAGCGAAATGTTGCGTTTTTGTGGTCAAAGGTGCGCTAGCTGCAGCGTACTGGGCTTGCCATTCCTTTCTGAGCTCCGCCACGGCCTGTGCTCCGCCCCAGCAGCAGCGTCCTTCGATTATCATTTTGATGAGGTATTCCGCTTGTGAGTGCGTATCCTATAACTTCCCATGGAACGCGTTACCAATCAAAGCATGGCCTTTGCTGGTATGATGGTGGCTATCGGTTTAACATGTGCAAAAAGTCCGTTGGACAAAGTCCAACGCATGGCTCTCTAGCGTGTGAGAGTAATGCCGAGAGTGAACGTACGCACGGAGACACAGACGGCTCGCGCAAGGCGAGTGCGAATGCCGGCGCGGAGAGCGGTCAACGTCGGTCCAACGTCGGTCCAATGTCGGTCCAACGTAACGGTTGACCCTGGCAGCTGCAGCGCCTTCATCATACGATCGTTCCCGACCCACCATTCCGGCTGCGAGTGCGACCTCTTAAATACTTAGCCCATGAACGCGTTACCAAATACTGGCCAGTTGCTGACATATGTAGCTATGTTCATGTGCAAAAAAGACCTCTCATTCGGTTGCTAGCTCGTCCATCGGAGGTCAACGTGCAAAGAGAAGGGTCCCGTTTTGCATGGATTTCCATGCTTTTTTCGTTACTGGGACATTATTCAGCAACCTCCACCATGAAACCAGTCCAATGCCTAATCCCTCGGATTTAGGAGACGTGTAAAACAGAGCATTTATAAAGCACTAGTAAGTGACCGCTATGACTAAGTACAGGAGAGAAGAGAAACGCCAGGGAGAACAAAATTTGTTTTCACGTCTTCCCCAGAATCCCTTCCCTCTCCAAGGTACAGCCCCAAGTTCTGTAATTGGCCCATTCACTTGGATCCCACCGCCCAACGACATAAGCGTCAGAATAGGAACATACCGGTACATAGAAGTGGAACTTCCCTGAGCGGTTCGTAGAATAATAGATTGTGTAAAGCAACTTGCAAAAGTCAAGTAAAATGATTGATTTTGCATAGGATTGACCATGGTTCGCATTCCTCTCGCTAATCCGAACGAATCCTCACATCGCTGTGGGGGACCCCAATCGAACTCTTCAATAACGACCTATCTAACTTATTCATGTAGTAACAAAGATTTCAAAGCTTTGTTAGAATGCGCTACCCTTAGACCTCCGTTTCGTAAGAGTGGTTACGTTCACGCCCTGCAAATAAATTTGCGTAAACTATCTGATTTCACCGCTCAAGATTTTTCCTACTTACAGCCACACCAATCTTAATACAAGCTCAGATTCAATAACACAGAAACGGATATACTTGGCTGCTCAGCCGACGATTGTGAACAAGAAGCTAAACCAAGACTTGGCCGCGACTTTCAATATTCGTATATCATTAATGCAAATTCAAGATGAAAATCAACCACTTCAAATTATTATGGGTGTGAGTGTAACATTACCGAAGAAAAATCATTAAGAAACGGTCCGCAAAACCACCACTTTCCCGCTATTTCCGCATAAGCCCATCGCTGTACCCTCTCAACACTAAACTCTCTCCTCCCTATCTAAAATCACTCCGCCAATGTATAGATCTCAGCATGATAAATTGTCAGCAGGCGACTCCGGTCGGGGGGGACTGCGCCGACAAGAGCCATGCAGATCCTAGGTCAAATCTTTCGTGCCATTCACGTTCATTCCGCCCCTCAATATCGTTGCGATCTCTAATTAGTGATTACTCGCTCTTCTCTTCGACTTCATACTTCTCGAATATTCCTCCTAAAGGAGAAATTCACGATTAGAATGAAGGTCGAAGAAAGGGAAACCTAGTTGAGGGACCCACGGACCTCCTGAGGGTGCGAACTGACGCGCAATTCGCATGGAAAAATTTGACCTCGGCGACCTATCATGCCTCAAAGCTGGCGGGTCCGGCGATCTCCGCCCACCGATCATCTGATCACTCGCCGTAGTTCAATACGTGTACCACTCACCATCCCTAGGTTAATTTGAAATGGGTTGCTTTTTCATCGTGAATTCGTCCTTTAAGTCTACACCAAAATGCTTCAATGCCTGAATGAGGTACGGTAGATTCTAAGGTTTCGAAAATAAAAATAAAGGCATTAGCGGTGACGAACTCCTCTTCAAAATGAACCACACATCTTCAATGTAACTAGACTTTTAAGGTGAATTGTGCAAGCGTAGGATACTGTGAAATTGACCTTTTCATGTATCGGTTTCCCACCCCGTAATGAGGACTTGGCTGGTCTGAGTCAGGTTCGATGCGATATTCCTCCTGCGGACTGTGCGTGCGCTTAGGGGTCGCTTTTTTACCACTGCACAAACTTTAAGTGTTCGAACTCAGATCCAATTGATTGCCCAACAGAAACTTCGAGGAAGAAAGAGAAATAGGGGAGCTATGCCTTCCCCATTAGCCCCGTGTTAGCCATGTTTTGGAACCGTGTGTGGCAAGCTTGTTAGAAAGGAGCCGCGCCTATACGACCGTCGGTGGGTTTGTTTGCTGCTAACCGTCTCGAGTGACATCCGCCTGGCTACGTGTTGGCCCTACCAGCTAGCCACTCGATCGCACTCCAAGTCGAGAAAATCGGTGTCCGAATCGAGTACCCCTCCTATCCTACACTGCATCAACAAAGTTTTTTTTATTGTATCCCTTCCACTGTTACCTGAATTTCATCTCAGTTCTGGGGAAATTTCTTCGAAGACTTTGATCAACTTCTTCAGCTTCCCCTCTAACGTGATTTCTGCACCTAGCACATATTTTATTTCAATTCATTCTCACTACTTCTCACTTTTTTATTTTTAGTTATCTACACATTTGACCTTGATAATACTGGAGAAAAACGGCAAAACTTTTGTTACTCCCCTTTTTTATTATTTACTATATTGCTATTATTATTAGTTGTTACTTACTGGACTCAAGCGTTGCTCTGAGCTATCTGATTGATAGCTCTCACTTCTCATTAGTTTTTTTTTTGGAAGGAGCTACATATCAGATGGACAAAGCT